ACTAAACATTGAGAAAATGCTCGTCAAGCGTATTTCAATTGCGATGCGTCAGTATTTATAGGAGCCACTCGTTTATCTTGAATACACAGCATATTTTTTTTTATTCAATAATATATATCGCAAACCGATTTTGTTTAGAAAATCTTTATTTATAGCGTCCGCTATCAGTTGTAATTTGACAGTTCTACAATCATTATCGCGAGACAATTTAACGCCGCGATAATCGCGCGTTGCTCGTACAACAAATCTGTGAGAAGTGCACAACCTGTGAATGCCAGCTGTTTCACTTAAATATCATCGAAAAAGAAACACAAGGTCGAGCCGCTGTATCACTACTACACGAACGTTTGAACGTATTATTAATAAAAGCCAGGTGAATAAAACTGGTTGCTGCGTGGAAAGGGGCGGCGTGCACGTGCCACGAGCACGCATTGTTCGCCTCGCGTGGCGCGAAATACACTTTCGCGGCTCGCGCAGAGATACACACTGGCTCTCTTTCCGCTTGGATCGTGCGTTCTCGACTCGTCTAAAAATACTAGTATATTTAATGTTATTTCGACGAAGTGTGTGCGAAGATAAATCGTCCCCTTTCACGCGCGCTGCGAACGCGACGAACAACGTTCTATCCACAGTTCGATCTATTCCCTCCTCGTGGCATTCCTCCGTGTTCATCGATCACTGGTCGTTTCCACCAATCGATTCTCGTGACTCGTCGTCGTCGTCATCGTCGTTGTCCCTTCGCGTCGTACATGCTCACTTCGCGTAGATTAAACTTCACGGGAACGAACGGTGGATCCACCCGTATGACCGAGCACCCGTGAACTCTCATGTGTGGGTATGTGATCGAGCATGCACTCACGTATGCGTCATGATCGTCGTCGAGGAGGAACACTTTGGATGTCACACTCGCGCGTCGATTCCGTAGCCCGGTGTCGTCTGCTCTGTTCGAAGTGAACAGATCAAGAGGGGACGAGTGCCATAAGAATCAGCAGCGGTGTTGAAGTTCGACGATCGTGCGCGAGAAAGATAAAGAACGACGCGATGAAAGAAAAAGTACGATGGCGATCAGCCACTTGCAATTATCGCGCGACGAAGTGGTCGCGGCGTTTCACCAAACCTCCGTTCGTTTTCCTCTGCTTCGGCCAGCTTGTTGCACGGTGGCGCTTAAATGAAAGTGTAAGTTTACTTAAGGTAGGTCGCGCCAAGAATATACACGCTTATCGCGCGGCGAACTCTCGTTTCGTTCCTTTGAGACCAGAGTTCGTGGGTGGTAAACGATTCGTTTGAATACTTGCGCGTTCTCTTTTCTTTCCTTTTCTTTTTCTTTATATATATATAGAAAAGTAAAAGTGGGTGAGAGAATGTCTTCGTAATTTGCGCGCTTGCGACACGCGAGCCTTCAAATTTTTCGGCATACGCTTGGCCTTTCACTTCACGGTGATTATCCTTGATATTCAAACGTTTCAACGTCATCAGTATATACGTACGTATATTAAATATATATCTTAATGCTAAAATGCTAGACCAATGCGTCTAAAGCGTAAGAAACTTGTTTCGAAAACTATGCTCCGATTGTTCTAGTATAGAGAAGAAGAATAACTGGGATATGCTGGTTTGATGATAATAATATAAACGTATTTATTCTTCCTTTTGTTTTTCTTTTTTTTTTTTTTT